CCGCCAGCGAGGCGCGCGCCGCCCTCGCCCGCAGCAGCGCGTGGCTCACTTCCTCCGCCTCCGCCTCCGCCTCCGCCTCCGCCTCCGCCTCCGCCTCCTCGGTGCATGTCCAGGGCTCCGGCTGCGTCGGCCTTCCCGCCTAGAGGCATGTCCTGGACACGTCGCGGACACGTCCCGGGCCTGTCGGCTGGCTCGGCCTCCCCGCCTCGCGCAGCCGCCCCGCCGCGAGGGCCAGCGGGCTCTTGCGGCTCTCCTCGGCGGCGATGGCGCGGCCGCGCCCGCTCCTCCCCTGCGTGCAAAAGAGGTGGGCGCCGCCGCACGCGCCGAGGAGGAGGAGGGCGGCGGATGCGACGCCGGCCGACGCCAGCGAGAGCAGCAGCGCGCCGAGCGAGGCGAGCGGCTCCTGGCAGAGATCATCCGAGATCAGCCGAGGTCGCCCGAGATGATCCGAGATCACGCTCGCTGATGGCCGATCGAGGCGAGCGGCTCCTGGCAGGCGCAGACGAGCCCCTTTGCGCTTCCGACCCGCTCCTCCAGCGCCTCGCCCCCTCCCTCCGCCTGCCACCACGCCCCCGCGTAGCACGCCTCAAACGGCGCAGCCTCGACCGAGGCGAGGCAGTTGTTGACGGCTCCTTCCGCCAGCAGCGCCGCCGCCCTCGCGGCCGAGCCGCCGATCCAGCCGCCGTCATTGACGGCGCAGCGCAGCCGAAAGGAGGCGTTGGCCGGCTGCAGCGCCGCCGCCTCCTCCTGAGATACCGCCTCAACCGCCCCACCGCACGCGTCCCACACCTTTGTGGCCGAGGAGCGGAGGAGGGCGGCGAGAGAGCCGCTGTCGAGCGAGCCAAACCGGTGCTCTGCGCCGTGAGCCACCGCAACCGACCAGCGGAAGCAGAGGACGGAGGCATATGCGAGGGCGACGCCGGAGATGAGCGAGAGAGACACGAAGGCGCCCAGACTGCATCTTCCGGGCCGCTGAGCCCAGCCTCGGAAGCCGAGCACGCTGGCGGTGTAAAACAGCGCTCCCGCGCCAAGGGTGGCGAGCGAGGCGAGGAGGACGCCTCGAAGCAGCAGCAGCATCGCAGCACCGGCGAGAAGAGAAGCGGCTCCGAGCAATTGCGAGGCCGTGGCGCCGGCGAGCAGCAGCGAGAGCGCGAGGCAGCGCGGAAGCGAGCGGCTGGCGTTGACGCCGCGTGGCGTGCTTGGCGGGCTGCCGAGCTCGCCGACGCGGACGCGGGAGGTCCGCATATGCACAGCGAACGCCAGCCGACTCACCGGGCCGAATCTCCTGGGTCGGCGGCTCGTCGTCCAGGCTCTAACTTGGCTGCCCAGCGACCTTTGCCCTCTGAATTCTTATCGATCAACACTTTCGATAGACCGAAAGTAAGATCGTTCGGTGCAGAAACCCCGGCCATGCCCATGTAACGCAATTGTGCTCGAGAAGTGTCTCCAAGTCTTCTGGACCCATCGATGGCCGTCGCCTCGACGCCGCTCGTCGCGGCACCATCGTGCCCGGCCTGGGCGAAGCATCGTCGCGGGCGCCAGCCGCAGTTCGACGGCAAGCCGTGCGAGCCTGCCGAGGAGGAGGACATGTGGCTGTGCCTGGCCGACGGCCGCGCGCGCAGCACCGCCGACCTGAAGCGCCTGGCGACAGCCGCTCGGGTGCGAGCGAAACGAGCAGGAGATGCAGCCGCCGCGAACACGCGCGATCGGCAGGCGCGCGACCAGCGCCGCCGGCAGCGTGAGCAGCACGACCGGCGCGCAGCGCCGGCGGTCGCCAAGACCGTGCGCCCACAACGCGGCCAGTGCGGCTGCCCGGCGCACGCGGTGTGCGGCATGTGCGTCGACCAGGGCAAGCTCGCCGCGGCCGAGCAGGCGGCCATCGACCTGGAGACGCGCTTCCACGCCTCGACGAACGTCGTCATGGACCTGGAGCGGCCCGAGGACGAGACGGCGGCGCTGCTGCAGCGCTGCGTGCACGTCTCCGACGAGACGAAGCGGCGGCTGCTGGGCGAGTGGAGCGACGAGCGCATGGCGCACGCGCTGCCGCTGCACGCATGCGCCTCGTGCGGCGTGCGGGACCCGTCGCTGACGTACACGCGGGTTGACGTGTCGGCGCTGCCGCGTACTGTGTCTGTGCGCGTAGCCGGCGGCGAAGACGAGACGCGGCACGTGTTTGAGCTCTCGCCCGAGCAGTGCGCTAAGTATCGAGGTCTTCAAAACAAAAAGGTGCGCCTTGCGTTTCCCAACGGCGCGAGGTGAAATTTAGAAAAGGAGTTGCGGTGTTGATCGCCGCGGGAGCCCTCTTATTTCAAGAAGTGCTCCAAGTTGCCCGTTCGCGCTGCGCTGGAGTCCGTGAGTGCGGGTAGCGTGCAGGCAATCACGGGCGCTATTTTGTCGTACTCCTCTTCGGCGAGCGCCCCAAATCTAGACCCTTTCGCCTTTAAGGAGGCTGCCCTCGCTCGTCTCAGGAATGTAGGTGTTAAAAGAAAGAAAACGGACAACCCAAGGGAGGGATGGGAGGACGGCACGCCGCCACCACACAGGGATTTTAACGTATGAAAGAAAGAAAGAAAGAAAACAGACAAAAAGGGAGGGATGGGAGGACGGCACGCCGCCACCACACAGGGATTTTAAGGAGAGGGGTGTGATTTTAACGTATGGTGTTGGCGCCGAATAGCGCCAAAATTCTTTTTTTGCGACACTTGGTGGCAGCCTGCTAATATAAAGCCCCTGCGGTGCACCAGCGACGCGTTCGAGGCGGGCAAGCTCTGGACCACATGGCGTCCGCCACGGAGCGGCCGATCGAGACCGGGGCGGGGGCGCTGAGCTCCGTCGAGATTGACGTGTTAAACCTCGAGCTGCGGTGTCCGATCTGCCTCGAGCTGATGAGCGAGCCGGTGGCGACCGCCTGCCTGCACCGCTTCTGCGCCGGCTGCATCGAGAAGTGCCTCCGCATCGGCAAGCAGGAGTGCCCTTCGTGCCGGCGGCCCGTCGCGACCCGCCGCTCGCTCCGCAAGGACACCAACTTCTCGAAGCTCATCTCGACATTCTACCCGGACCTGCAGGCCTTCATGGAGCAGGAACGGCTGCGCTCGCAGGCCCTGTCCGAGGAGCACCGCGGCCGGCACGCGCAGCAGATGCGCATGCTCTGGGGGGCGAGGCGGGCGGTCGCCGCCGACGCGAGCCACCGCAACCTGACGCCGCGCGCGCCGCTGGCGGCGGCGCCGGGCGACGGCGACGGCGAGTCGGACGGGGAGGGGGAGGAGGACAGCGATGGGGAGGGTGGCGAGGGCGGCGACGGGGAGGGAGAGGGCGAGGGCGAGGAGGACGAGGGCGAGGAGGACGAGGGCGAGGAGGACGAGGAGGGCGAGGGCGAGGTGGCGGCAGGGCGGGCAGAGGCGGCCGGAGGGGAGCCGGCTGGAGGGGCGTGCGGAGGCACACCCACGACATGTCCCCGACATGTCCGTAGGCGGCCGGAGGGGAGCCGGCTGGAGGGGCGGCCGGCCCCGCCAACGGAAAGGCGGCCCTCCCACGGGCGGCCGCGCTGCCGGGCCACAGCTTAGGCGGCGGCAGCAGAGGCGAGGCGGGGGAGGCTGCGGCTCGAAGGCCCGTCGGCGAGCCTCGCAACGAGTAGAGGGAGTACTTCCTCTAATCATGACCTGTGAGAGCCCGCAGGCCCGCCGGCGACCCTCCGCGCTCGCACGGCGACGCGGCAAGGGGCACGCACCAGGCGCCTCCGAGACACTTCCTAGACACTTCCTAGACACTTCCTAGACACTTCCTAGGCAAGGGGTGCGCACCAGGCGCCTCCTATAGACACTGTGTACTGCAGGCGGACAGGCCCTGCAGCACAGGCCCTGCAGCACAGGCCCTGCGGCACAGGCCCTGCAGCACAGGCCCTGCAGCACAGGCCCTGCAGCACAGGCCCTGCAGCACAGGCCCTGCAGCACAGGCCCTGCGGCACAGGCCCTGCAGCACAGGCCCTGCAGCACAGGCCCTGCGGCACAGGCCCTGCAGCACAGGCCCTGCGGCACAGGCCCTGCAGCACAGGCCTTCCAGCCGGAGAGCGGTTTGAGTCTAGGTCGCCTCCGAGCCCGCCCGCCCCGCGAGGCCGAGGAAGCGGAAGCTCAACCAGCCACCAAAGCCGGGGCCGCTCAAGCCGCGCACCGCAGAGGCTCCGCCGCTGCAACGTGCGAGCGCTGCCCCCGCTCGCGGCTGAGCCTCCCCCCTCCCCCGGCCCAAGGTTGGGCTCGTGCTGCGGCGGCACCCGCTAGAGGAGTCGCTCGACCCGCTCACAAAGGACTACGTCACCGTCGACAAGTCCGCTCTCGTCAAGCGAGCCTGCCTCCCTCCCCCCTCCCCC